TATATAGTGCATAGTGCCTAGTGCCTGGGGTATTTTCCCCCTGCAAAATGGGAATGCAAACAGATGGAGAGTAAGTGGTTTGAGCTAATATCATTCTTTTTCTGCCTGAGAAAACAACAGTACAAAAAATTTAAAGGTTTTGGTTTTAGGGAGTGTAATTCCTGTTGTATACAAGAAGCCTAGTTTCTTTACTCACATTTCAAAGATTAACAAAAGACAAGGCTAAGGCAGGAAAAATTAAGAATCCAGGCATGAATTTCAAGAACTTGTAGCAGGGTGAATGTCATGCATTATTTCTGTCCATCTGAAGGATTGTGAGTTAGGGAAGATGTGAATAATATCTGGGTAGAAAAATATAGTCTATCTAGAGATATATTTGCAACAACTGACCCTTATCTTCCTTTTAATGTTTATCAAAAATATGGAAACAATTTCTTACCATAAAATCTCTCAAGATAAATATTGCTGGTATTTTGCTTTGTTTTCCTTCATTCACCATTATTTCTTGTTCTCATTTTTCAGGATTGGACCAATTTAGAATAAACTAATTAAGAGATAGGAGCTAATCATTACAAAATTGAGCACTATTAGGCCATATTCTTGCACATGTTAATCTTTAGTACAAAAGTTAAGATGCCAGTATTAGGCTACATAAAGGGAGCAACTCTGAAAAAAATGGACGCCTGCCAACTGCAGAAACATGCTGTCCAGAAAAATCACTGATTGTAAAGAACATCCTCTCTCCTTATATAAGCTACCAGATGTTGTTGAATTTAAAAAGGAAAAAGAAATGTTGATGAGTCATAGGGTGCAACCAAGCTAAGCAAAGTTTAGCAGCTCTTTTAATTAAATCACATTGTATGTGTAACAATGTTACAAACTGAGAAGATAGAGATTGTGTCACAGAGAAATTAAAATTTTAGTATTCAAAATACAATTTAAGCCATAACCTGAATGATTTTGAAAGAGATGTCATTTAGGAGCTGAATACTAAATGTCCATCTAAAATGTAGTCCATCTAAAATGTTTTCATGGGCATTTGCCTTGTGAGAACTTATACCTTTATCAAGCGTATCCTGACCTGAGGAGGTATACAACCACGTGTTTTAGCACCAGAGAACAATGCCTGTTATCACATGCTTATTTAGAACATCTTCATGCCTTCATACATATAGATGAAAGGACTTTTTTTTTTTAGATGAAAGGACTTTCAGAAGTCCCACCATCACTTCCCACTTTAGGTTGTTTTATTTCAGTAGATTGGAAACCATGACAATTGATATTCAGGAATAGGGGCTCAGTCTTTACCTCCTGAACATTTTAATTAAACCCTAAACCACTTAGTCCCAAATTTCTAAGTTTCTTTACTATTTCTTTAGAGACCTTTGCAATTTTTGCAATTGCAAAGCAAACCAATCTAATAGCACTTTTTTTTCTTTGCAATTTTTTGCAATTGCAAAGCAAACCAATCTAATAGCATTAATTCACTTTCTGGCTTTGAGCATAGTGTGTGACCTTGTATAAGTGATTTTAATTCTCTGGGTCTTATTTCTAAAGTGAAGATGCTAATTCCTACCTGACTAAATCTTAAACTGAGAATTATTATTTTTATGTAGTGAATAACCCACAATAGTTGCAGTCAAAACATCCATGAAATGTCAACAAATTTAATGCCTGGTCTTGTTTTACCACAATATGGTTTGTTAAGCTCATCATGGATCTCTTTTGAATACAAATATGGTGATTTGTACAGTCACCCAACAGTTATGCAGGCTAAGTTATTTTCTCCAGCTATTGATGAATATTCTTTACCTGGCAGAACCAAAAGTCTTGTTAAAATAGAGACAAATTATATCAATTTATTTCCAGTCAAACTACTATGTCCCTCAATATTAGATTATATATCAGACAGCATTTTTTAATTGTAAATTCCTAATGGTTAGTACTCACTAATTTTGATTTGGTAATTATTATTTCTCATGTAATAGGATGGATGGATAGATAGATACATAGACAGATAGACATATAGATACATAGTGATATAGATATATTATTGAAATGTGGAGAATGACCTGCCTTCTCCAGCTCAGTGTGGCAAAAGCTACCATAAAGACTATTCTTTCAGCTGTTTAATTTTACATTGGTTTATATTAAAGTACTTTTTACTGATGTAGCTTTGGTTTGCAACACTGTATATGGTTTAGTAGATAGGTTCACAACTTTTCAGATATGCTACACATCATGCTCACCACAATAATCCTCCACCAGAACCAAGAGTCTCCCCCACTTGTTCCTACTCCCACCTTCTGCTTCTGGTATCTTCAATTATGCAGTCAAAATTGTTTTGTCTGTTCCTTTCTTTATGGTCCAAATATAAGCAAAATCATCCAGTATTCCTCTTTCTGACTTCATTCAGCATAATCTCCTCCAGTTCCACCACAGTATGACAAATGGCAAGATTTCATACGTTTTACAGCTGAGTGGTGCATATATATCATATCTACTTTATCCATTATCTATTTCTGGGCATTTAGCTGTTCCCATAATACCATCACTGGTGACTACTTTCTGATTTTCTCTCCACAATGGTAACTGAATCCAAATTTTTCAAATGAAGTATGCTACCCCACCATTAGTTTTATAATATCAAATTAGGTAAGAAACTTTTACATTTTTGGTTTACAGTAAATAAACTCAGTGATATTAAATAAATTAATGTTTTGCAAAAGAAAAGGAAATACTATTTTTCCCAAGGTGACATTCTTGGATATTACTGTCAAAACATTGTCTAGTAGGAAAAAGAATTCAAGAATGACTAAACATGTGTATTTAATGAATTTTTATTTTCAGCATTAAGTACCACAAGTCCTCAAAATTTTGTGAAGATTCTTTATTAATTTTAATAAACATGGTCTGCAAATATGATACCCATGTTTACTAAACTTCAGCATTAAAGCAAACATTTTAGTAATACATACTTTATGGATAATTTTATATTTAAAATCATGTGTGTCTTCATTTCTATATAAATGTGGTGGAGCAAAAACTCTATTTAAAACATCCATTTTGGTAGTTTGAGACATTGGCCAGTTAGCACTAACAATCTATAATTTGGATACTGATACTTTTATGGCACAAAACAAGAAGGAATTCCCTTTGCCGGTTTCCCCCTTGAGGTCTGGGTGTGGTTTATTTTCTTAACTGACTGGAACAAAGATATGCAGGAAAATCTTTGACAACTAAAATTCCCTTGTTTTTACAAATAAGCATAAGGAGGAAAAAGAAAACCTCAGATCAAGCTTGGTTCACTCCTTTGCTTATACTAAGGCACCTATTGGATTTTATCCAGGTTAAGAAAAATAAAGCCATGGGGTAATGTATATACAGTAGTATACTTAAGCTACTAGCTCACACACTTTTAATGGCTGAAAGTATATAAAAAATATAAAGGCGGAAGAAAAACAATAAGCAGTTTTGAAACATAGTAAGATTCCTACCCTTTATTAGTTTAAGCAAAGCTAGAACCTAATAACAATATGCCACCTATGGTTCAGAACCAAACAAAGGCAGCTTAGTTGTTTATTTTTCATTTGCTCCTTTTATGAAATGAGGAAAACCAGCTCGATTGACACTCAAATTTATTTTCAATTAGAAGGCCTAGAAATTAGAAAACATTTCATAAATACATACTAGCTTAGTATTAAGAAAATTACCCTACTCCTCTCCAGGGCTTCCATTTGCTCATGTCCCACATGATAAAAGGATGCAGCTTAGACATTAGGGCCTTGCTGCCATTGTATTTTTTCTAATTAAAATGCAGAGTATTAAGCACAGTTGAGTACATCTAATGCACACATGACACACTGTTATCACATACCGGAAGCTCCAATCAAGAGCACTGAGCAAAGGCTCATTTCATAACATCATTAAGATTCATTGTACGCTGTGCTTCAGAAAAGCTTTGTCAAAGCAGATAATAATGGCCTGTCAGAAATGGGCAAACAGAAATTTATATTAAATTCTCTTTCTCTCTCTTTTTAGCATGGGAATCTAGTTCATTCCCATGGGCTTAGGACTTAACTAAAATGTTTCCGGATTGCAAAATATTAGCAAAATAGAGTATAAGGAAAAATGAAGTGAAAAATATTTGAGTAACTAGATGGGGTGTGGTAATCAAGTAGAATGACTATGTCAAATCCAAAGAAGATAAAGTTCTGGAGTGTGAGACAGACAGAACTTGAGTCACAGGCCCAGTGTTTAACTGAAGTTAAATAAAAGTACTTTTTCATTTAAGAGTTTTTATTGCTCTTTATGTTACTCTCAGAGAGGAAAGCTTTCTCATTAAGACTATTTTCTTGTATATGCTGAGTGAAGACCCTAGGGAGATAATTTGATATGCTGGCTTCCAGACTGTTGTTGTAAGGATATTATCCGGACATTCATTGGTGAGCTTTACTTTGTTAGACATGGTAACTTCTTTTTGCCATCTTCACTGATCACGCAGAGGTGCTGAAATCATAAAAGGTTTTAAATGCATTGGTTTATTCACAAAACAGAAGGCACAGAAAGTGTATTGTATTATTATTTATTGTACATCTTAAGTGTCTGTTTACACATGTATGTATATAGATACGCAAAGTCAAAAGAGGTCCATTCAAATGTTTGACAAGGTTTTCCACTCTTTTAGTTTTGAGCCGCATTTCAACGGGCTCCCTAAGTCTGTAACAACCACAATTGCTGAGGACTAGTATAGAAATAGCCGTCATCTACACAATATTGAATTTTACTGGACCCTTTCTGGGTTCCAAGAAATGTACTAGGACTAGTTTGATTGCAAGTAACAGATACGGAATCAGGCTAATGTAAATAAAAAAAGGGGGTTTATTGGTAGGATCCTGGGGTAACTCCAGTAGCAAAGGGAGAGCTGTGCAATGAAGTAACTGGGAGGCTGAGTTCAGGGTAGCCCCGAGTTCAGCCCGGGTGTTGTCAGTGCTCTCTGATAGTACATTGGCTTAAGCCCCAAACTGTTGGTCTATCTGACTATTGGTTTAATATTTAATTATTAGGACAGAGAGTGAAACTGAGAAGTCTACTTTGGGTCAGTGGTCCACCTCCTGCTCACTTGGCTTTGTTCAGGGTCACAGTTAGTGATCCACTATGGGGGTCCATGACTACATATCAAAGCGATTGCTCCCAAAATGGAAATAGTTACGAGCTGCATTCCACGATCACTGGAGCCTGCTAGAGTTCAAACACCAACACAAAAAAGTTTATAGACAGTTTGCTACTAATACAGCTTAGATGGGCATAGTGAAATGACGACTGTAGAGAAAAAAAATCAGTATCAAGACACAGTTCTGTTTTTTGTTTCCTTATTATAAAGCAGGTTTAAAATGCATCATAAATGTTTCCATGAATGGGGGATGTTTAGATTAGGAATGTAAAGTGGGGCCTCACTGGTGGACAAGAGGTTAAGTCTCAGCTCAATCATCACTACAGCCTGAGTTCAATTCCAGCCAGTGAGGTGACCCATATATGGTGCAGCAGACTGCTACTGTTTTGCCTGCTGCTCCCTCAGCAGTGTACTTCGTTGATCTGCCTGTTCTGCTCCCCACTATGTTTCTAATGAATCTCTCACCCCCTGCACCTCTGGCCTAGACCCCAGTTCATCTACAAAATAAATAAATACTAAAAAAGCAAATAAAATACTTTTAAAAAGGAATATAAAGTGCCCAGATTGTGACACAGAAGAGACTTAATAAACGACAGCCCTCATTACCACTAGTTCAGTAACTGCCTAAGTTGAGGTCATAGTTAAGGTCTTGGTGAAAGGGTCAAGGAATTTGCATGCAAGACTTACACGTAGATTTCTGAAATAGTTTTTGTAACTTAAGGTATAGCCCATCACAAATAAGTTTGGAATCTCAAATCCAACATCTAGACAGGAGAGGAAAGAAACAAGATTTAGTGAACATAAGTATAAAGTCACCAGATGCTATTGTTAGTACTTAACTGAAGACATTTTACTAAGGCAGAACAATTCTATTGTTCCAACATAAGCACCCTCGAATGATTTAATGCCAAAGGAAACATTCTCAAAAGCACAAAGTACAATTCACCAAGAAGGTGTTACAATACTACAATACTGAGAAGGTGTATAGGCTCTTACAAGTAGGAAGTGATCTGACCCCACTGGTTAAAAGACTGGAAAGCAAAACCTGGGAGACATGAAAGGAAATAGGAATTGCTCAGTTTGAGGAAGAGAATGCTAAAGGTTATTTTAATATTAGCCCTGGAATCCACAATGCAGGCATTAATTAGCTCTTCATCTCTACTGAGGCCAGAATGAGAAGAAATGGATTTAAATGCAATCTGAGGTGAGGTTATGCAAAGGAAGAGTTTATTGAAAGGAAGATGGCTTTTATTGAAAAGGATGTTTAAGGAATGGAGAATAGCTCTCTTTCAGAGGTCCTGAAATAGAACAAATATGCCTATAGGCCAGTGATTTTTCAAACGCTGTCCAGTTTTTTTGAATTTATGCTTACCATGGCATTGCTGATGGGAAATTGACTTGTTCACAGTCAGGAAACTGTATGTTGGTGCACTAGTGGACTTCGGGCATGGAGAAAGTTATCGCCACGGTGAAGAGTCACCATCATTTTCATCCTCTGACCCATGGTGCCTTCACATTGAGAAACCAACTGGTTTCTGCTCACAAAATGTGCTCTAGGTAGGAACTTATTTTCTAGGGGATTGCAACATACGTCCCTGTCCCTGTTCGGAAGTCTGTTATCTCTCCCAACTGGAGGCTTGTTTTGGGAAAAATAAGAAGCAGAAGCAAGAGCAAAATAAAAGATGACAGAGTGTCCAGAAGGTGTTGTAAAGAGTCAATCATGAGAAAGGAGCAAAAAAAAAAAAAAGAACACAAGTCCTCAGAAATCCAGAAAACAAAAACAGAGTTTCTGAGCTCACTAAAACAATTATTCTAGAAATGTTGATGAGAACAATAACAAGGATTTCAGAGTGAGCAAGGCAAGCCCTATAACTGGAATGGCAACTCAGACTAGGAAATACCAGTCCAGAAGGCCAAACCTTCCGAGCCGTCATGGGATAAGAGGACTGTGAGTGTTTATTGCTGCTTTATTTACAATTGGAAAGACATAGAATCAACACAAATGCCGAAAAGTAGATGACTGGATTAAAAAGATGTGGAACATATACACAATGGAATATTACTCAGCAATCAAAACAATAAACACATGCCTTTTGCAGCAGCATAGATGGAGCTGGAAGGGATCATGCTTAGTGAAATAAGCCAGAAAGAAAAGGAAAAATACTGGATGGTTTCACTCATAACAGGATTACAAAGGACCAGGGGAGAAAAATAATAATAATAATGAACAGCCATATACCAGAGACATTTTACGGGGGTGGGATGGGGAATGGGAGCAAAAACAGTGGGGGAGGGAAGTGCACTGGACTATGGTGATGGCACATGGGTGACTGGTGGTGGGAAGCCCACGGGGATTCCAAATGAGATGGGAAAAGGCACAAAATGATGTAAAAATAAACTATTATATATGTGGACGGTGGATCAGTAGGACAGAACAGTCAGGAATCTGAGTATCTTATTTCTGGCAGGTAAGTGGTAAATGGGTGCAGTTTCTATACTTACATTTGCAATTCAGTGTTCCAGATACAGTGCAAGAGCAGTGACTAGAACCAGACAGCCTGGAGTAAAGTCTGACTCTCCACTTAACTGTCTTTGGCAAGCTGTGTCCACGTCCCTGATCTTTGAGAAGGGCATACATAGTGGCACTCACTTAGAGAACTATTGTGAAGATTAAGTAGGTTAATCTGTGCAGCTCTTGAGACAGTGAACTTGTAATTACTTGGATATGCCTGAAGTCAATGTATTGCAGCTTCCATTACAATTTTATCTACACAGTGTCTCCAATTAAAATTTTATCTACACAGTGTCTACATTATTTCTTTAGAAGATTTATTATAATCATCTTGTCTGCTTTTAAAGATATGCAGATTATACTGCCTACATCAGTAAACCAGCAGAAACAAGTTCTTGGGTCAATCTGCCTATAGCCAACCTAGTCTGGAACAAGTACATTTAGCATAGGAATAAAACTTCTTTTTAAAATAAAGAGTCACTGTCTAAATGTCACTGGCATATTACCCATCCATAGTGTTCTCTAGCTTTAATGTTTGTTCAGCTTGCTGATGAGAACTGTAGCCAAATTATCCCAAAGGCATTAGAACAAATGTGAGTTATAAAAATCAAGCTGAAGTCTGCCTATGCAAGTAAAAAAAATACGCCTCTAGTGTTAGAATAATAAATAATCAAGCAGCTTGTTTGTCCTTTCTGGCATCAGAACTATTCCTATTCTGAGGAGGAGGGAGAGGAAAGCGTCCCGGACAAGGAAAGTCCTGCAGAACACACGTCTGAAGTCAAGTGTGAAGATGGTATCTGGAGACATTTGCTCTGCTCATTCTCTGTGTTACTGAACTTTTGTTTGGAGGTGGTGGAGAGATGTCTCGGATTTCCCCTCTGTGTGCTTTTAAAATTCAGGCTTATTGAAGGTCAGCATTGTGCATTGTCTCCTAACAGTTCCTGGAAATGGCCTGAGAATCCCTCCAGGTTTTCATAGTGTCTCTTCATGTCCAGTTGGTGGACAGCAGCCAGAGAAGGATCCTGTGTGTCTGAGTCATTTTAGTGGGGTCAAATGCCCCTTTAACTCCTGAATTCTTTGTAGTTAAAGTGCTTAACAGAAAAACGAAACCTAAAAATAAAAATGTCCGATGCACCTAAAAAAGTTTCTATGAAAGATGCGAATTAGAAAACTTAGATCCTCTTTCGATTTTAGCTTAATTTTGGCGATCCTTTTATTTTTTCCCTACACTTTTTTTTTTTAATTGAGGTAACATCAATTTACGACCCTGTACATGATTTCAGGAAACAGGTTCACACCTCTTCAGATGTATGTGACCACCACACCCAAAGCATCCAAAATCCTCCACCACGGGCCAGTGGGTCCCCTCCCCTTTGTATTCCTCACTCCCCACTCCTCTTAGAGCGTCATTTCTGCAGTCTTATTTCCAGGGTATCTTACACTTAATCTTGTCAGTTCCTTTGTTTTCTATCTTTATATTCTATGTCTGAGCAAAGTCACCTGGCATTTGTCTATCCTCTCTTACTTATTTCACTTGGCCTCATCCCATCCAGTTCCATCCATGATGTTGCAAATGGTGAGCTTTCATCTCTTTTAAAGCCGAGTACCCTTCCACTATGTTTATATATCACAACTTATTTATCCACTCATCTGTCACTGGGCACTTAGGTTGTTTCTGTAACTTGGTAATTGTAAATGGTACTGTAATGAATATAGAGTGTATATAATCTTCAAATTAGTGTTTCTGCATTCCCTGGATACATACCCAGGAGTAAAATTGCTAGATCATATGGTAATTTATTTGTAGTACTTTGATAAAACTCCACACTGTTTCCTCAGGAACTGAAAAAAATCTATATCCTTACCAACAATATATGAGGGGTTTTTTCTTCTCCACACCCTTGCCAACATTTGTTGTTTTGGGTATTGTTTGATTTGGGCCATTTTCAAGTGAGCGGTGATTATTATAGTTCTGATTTGCATTTTCCCAAAGATAAGTGAAAGCAAGTTTTTTTTTTTTTTTTCATGTGCCTAATGGTCATCTGTAAGCCTTTGGAGAAGTGCTTATTTTACTCATCTGTCCATTTTTTGATTTTTTGATTTTTATATATTTTCTTTATGCTGAATTGTCTGAATTCTTGGTAGATTTTGGATGTTAACCCCCGTATTGGCTATGTGATATGTAAATCTCCCATTCAATAAGCCATCTTTTCATTTGAATAATAGTGCTTTTACTGTGCCTAACTTTTTTGGTCTGTTGTAGTTCCATTTGTTTGTTTTTGTTTCCCTTGCTGTTAGAGTCCCCAAAGACACTGAAATAATGCTGTGAATTCTTTTGTTTTCCTTCTATGTATTTTGTGGTTTATGATACTACATACAACTCTTTAACCCATTTTGAATTAATTTTGTGAATGCTGTGAGTAGTCTAGCTTCATTTATTTGCATGTGGTAAAAAAAAAAAAACCACGTTTGTTGAGCACTGTCTTTTCTCCATACTGTACTCTTAGCAACTTTCTCATAGATGAACTGTCCATTCCGGTACAAGTTTATTTCTGGACTCTAAATTCTATTCCACAGGTCTGAGACGACCCTCCTTTTTAAAGGCTCCATCCTCCCTAGAAAGGCTAGGGAGACCAGAAAGAATCTGCATATTAGCAAACCTCCACAGCTTCCACTTCATACAGAACACCATCAAGCAGGAATTTCTTACACATCAAACACCCTCCTACCCACCCCGCTCAACACAAGCCAAAACACTTACAGTCAGGTCTAAACTCTTTTCTTGGTGTTCTCTTCACGAACAAACTATCATAAAAAAAAAAAAAAAGAGACATCAGTGATAAAAATAAAAATCTCTGCATTGAAAATACAACGAAATATCATTAAAATATGCCTTTCAAATATACAATTTCCCTTCAGCATGTGGGAGATCATCATGGTCCTTTAATTCATGCTCCCGCTACTCCTATACCACATCCGTGATTCTGAATAAAAGGAAGCGAGCTGGACACTGGCATCAAGGCGAATTCAGCTGCTTTTGGAGACAGCTAATGGCTGTCAGGATAGACTCAAACACAGCAAGTATGCCCTTCCCTTTCTTCTCTCTCAGACTAGCAGTCAGATGGGTTATCTTATTCACTGAGGCCAAATCACATCACCTGAGAGCAAGGGTCATCTGTTTGCAATAGTTTCTGCTTTTGGAAACTTCCTCCTATGTTAGCAGCTCTCTTGAGCTTGTTAGGAAAGATAAAGATAATGGTGGGAGTCCCTTACTCACCTGGCTACCTTAATTGTGTTGGGTCTGTATTTCTCTAGGATGCTGAGCAGTGCTTTCATGGTCCTTCCAGTCCCAATGATATTCTTTGCAAAGAGGATAAACAAATCACCAAATGCACAGTCACTGTAACAGATTTTTCATACAGACATATGATTGTATTTCTCATTAATAATGCATCATATTTAGAACTGCCACCAAACTAAAGTAAAAATAGGAGGCAGAATTTGTTATATTTTTCTGACAGGTGCTTCTTTCTGGAAGCAGTCTATATTTCCTCCTGGAGTCCTTGAGCTCTGTTGAAACGCTAAATACGGCCTTTGGAGAGCATGTGCAGCCTCTTATTGAGTACATTTGGGCTCATGCACGCACATTCAAGGGCTAAATTTGGCCTGAGGTTATGTTACACAATACAAGACACATGAATTTTCATGGACATGGGATGTACATTGAATACACTGAATGAATAAACACCCTCCCCTTCCCCTCCTCCCCATTCAATAGGGGATTCTATGGCTGGAAAGTGAGATGTGTCTGGACAGCAGCTGGTCTCAGCCCGTGAATTCTGAGGGTGAAAGTCTGCGTGGCTGAAGCTCATCTACGCCAATGCTGCTGCACAATTAAGTAGAATGGGCAGCAGAAATTTATTGTCCTTAGGACAGAAATCAGCTGTCACGAGCTGATTATCAAAACAACAGGTCTGAATTTAGCTAGGGTTGGGCAATTCATTTGGCTAGAGGGTCTACTTCATGGGTTATTTTGAGGGAGAATAACTGCAGATACATATGGCACATAGGCAATTGTGTAACAATTGAAAATAGTTCTGAATTTCTGCCAGCTGATAAGGCAGGCGTGCTCCTGAACTAAATGTGACCATTTGCTCTATTAGTCCAGTGCTGCTATAGGACCATTCTTTCTCTTTTCTTTCCTAACTAGAAAACAAATTACATAAAATCACTGCTTTCTCCTGGATTGCCATTTTTAAACTGATTTATGATTTGGATGCTGGAGTTTGAATTGCCCAGTGATTAGAGATTATTTGCAACCACACTAAAGTAAGGGTGAAAAGAATTTTAACCATGGTTAATAATAAGTTCTGTATTTTAAAACTCACCATTAAATTACTTCAACCTCCAAATGTGGATAAGGAAAAGAAAGCTTACCTCAACAATAAGGATATTCTGAAATTAGAAAGCAATAACAACAGCCGTTATTTAAAATATAGAGCAAACTTGGCTCACAGGTTTATTTGCAGTTAGAACTCCACATTTTGCTGGCTGAGACTCCCCTAGCCACCAAATCCAAAAGCTTGGAGGGAATCTGGGCATCCCAAGTTCATTTTAACAGTTTCTCTGTAATTACTAGGTGCAGCAGCTACATTGCTGTCTATATTCAGGTTCAGACCAAGCTTATTTTAGAACCTGTACCTCGAAAGCTACCCCAAGTCAACCTCCAACCATATTCTAGCAAGTCTCACTCCATCCCACCCCTCCCAACATTCTTAGGGATACAAAACTCACTACTGTGAATTTACCAGGGAGATAAGCCAGCATGTGCTGCATTGCCAAAGGAGATAGTGATCTGTAGATGGATGATGCATCGACTGGACGGTTCTAGTCCCGTGGAGCCCCCAAATCACTGGGGAGTCTGTATTTACCCTCAGCTTTTCAAGAGAGAGGTGGGCTAGAAAGAGGGCTGTGAGGTGCTGGGTTTGTATTTTTTTTTTTT